AAATTAAGAAAATATTAATGTTTTACTCATTACTTTTTAATAGCTCTCTTTTAATTGAGTAGTTTTTCTTATTACATCTCTTTTAGCTACTGGGCAAACTCTTGAGAAACACACCTCCTGTATACATGTGAGTTTGTTATAATGTTTTGGTGTTAGTGTTTGGTTTTTCAGTTTTCGTATAAAAACAGCTGATTTGTGGGGCCAAGCAAAAAAAAACTTGTTTTGTTTTTTTTTGTTTACAAAAACCAGTAGCAGCAGCAAGAACAACAACAAGGTTGTTTTTTTTTCTCATGAAGAAAACAAAAAACAGCTGAGTTTTTATATAGCAGAAAAAAGAGTAGATGAGAGTAAAATTAGGAGCAAGAGTTTTTTTTTATTGTGTAGGAAAGTGTTGCCATTTTATGTTGTTTCTTTATGAACTTAAGTTTTTAGCAAAGTTATAAAGACTTTGGTAACCCAACCTCTAAGAGGAAGTCCGGTATTTGTTGTTGTTTGGTGTGTGTTTTTTTGTTTTGCTTTCTATGAGAGCATAAAATGAGTGTTATTTGCATTTGGGCTCAGTGCAAAACAACAATAAAATATACAGACAGACGTCCTCAATTAGTTTACTTTTTATGTATATTGTTGTTGTTGTCGTTTTCTTTTTCTGTGTTTTAAACTCAATATTGTTTTTGTAGTATTTATAATGGCTGTTATGCCAACGACCTTCATGATTTTTAAGAGTTGTTTTTGTTGTTTTTATTATTATTGTTGCTGCATTTGAGTTTTTAGTTTTATTTGTAGGGGTGGGGGGTTTCTAAATGGGGAAAATATTTATGGAAATGTTAAATATTTTCAGAATTTTGGCAAAAAAAAAACTGTTAAGGTAAACAAATTTATAGAGAATTGTTTTTTTTTTATAAAAAATTGTTAATTCAGTAGAAATTGTTAAATTAAGAACATTGTAAATTGTTAACCTAGTAATCTAGATTTATAGGCTTTAAAACAAAGTAAGGGCATGAAACAACAAAAAATAATTTTTAATAACAATTAAAAAAAGTTTAAATTTTGATGATTTTTTTTAAAGATTTGAAATTTCTTTTTCAATATTAAGTTTATCCATTTTTTTAGCTTTAAAATTTATGAAATTGTCTCCCACATTCAAAACAAATTTAGGGATTCCTCATAAAACTACAACAAAAATAATACAAACACTAAAAAGAGATGACTATTGGCTTGTTGGCAGCCATTTATGTACTTCCTGAGCAACAATAACAGCAAAAACATTAAAATAAAAACAACAACACTAACTACTAGTGACACTAATTTGGAAAGCAGCAAAAACAACAATCTTACAAACCTTAATATTTTCACATTAAAATAAATACATATTTCTCGAAAAAAAGGCTCTTTACTTGATAAGAGCCCTTAAGGCAAAAACTAAAGAATCATTTTCTCCCCTACTACACTAGCAACAATAACAACAAAACAATTTCAACAATCCCAAAAAAAAAATTGTTTTTTTGAGTTTAAAATGTTAGAAAGAGAACACTCTAACTAAACATATGATTTTTCTACTGTTTCAACTCTTTAAACAAAAAACAAACAACAACTATGTATAAAAAACACAAACAATTTAACAACAACAATAACCGAAAGTAGGGAAAAAATAAGCCTAAAATCTATACATTTAAAGAAAATAAATTAAACTCAAATATAAAGATGGCCGCCGTACAATGGCTGAATTGAATTTGAAACAAAAACAACAACAGCAACAAGAACACATAAATGACGACAACGACAACAAAATAAAATATGGCATACAAAACAAATCAGCAGCGGCAGCAGCAAACATTGTTGTCGGCAACTATACTATAGGAGAGTACAAAATCGTTTTACAATGTAACAAAAACAACAAACAAAAGAAAATAAAAACTCTTAGAGGGAGAGAAACTCGAGCTAATCAAGGAGAGCTGAACTCAAATTGTGAGATTGTAGTAAAAAAATTGTAGCCTTTGAGGGGATGAACAGAAATGTACTTTTCTGAAAAAAAAGGACCTTTTTAGCGGTTTAATATATTTTTAGGTTAGGTTGAAGACGAGAACACTGGAAGCATCATATCATAAAGATAAACAGCCCTCCTTTTGTTGTGCCCTCCTTTTTTTCGGAAATTCCGGTATAACATCGCTACACTGCTAGATAAAACCATTATTTCACTATCCTTACCACATGTTCTAGATTCGTCACATTCCGTTCTTTCAATTTCGTGAAGTTGTGTCCCTAATCCTGTATATCCAGTCTGGACACCTACATACATACGTAACTTCAGACTAAACTCGAACTTGTTCCCACAGAGAAGACTTTTCGATCTCCATTCTTTTAGGTTAAACCATAAGATTTTTGTTGTTCTAACTACCTTAAGTTTAATGGGTTTTTTGTCCATGCGTTTAAATCCGATTTTGAACAGGCATTTGTCCGGTTAACTCCTCCAAGTTCTCTGCCCTTAATAGCAATTCTTTTATTGTTTAAATTTGAAGAAGTTTTGAAGGATACCTACTATCAGACTAACCTTGAACTTGTTCCCACTTCTCGTTTTCTATTCGTCCTACAAAACATGTCATTATTCCATGTGATGTCTCTTGTTGCACTTGATAGCAACTGAATGAGTTTCTTCATTATCATTTATACCTGAGTGACCTGGTGCCGACTGGATTCTTTTGTCCATTCGTCTAAATCTGTTGCCGTTTGATCTCGAACAGTTTTGCATATGCCCGGTCAACTTCTTCAAGTTCCCTGCCCTTAATAGCAAATGAATTACTACTTTCATTATTCCAAATTGGAGACGTTATGAAGGATATATACTTTCAAACTAACCCTGAACTTGCTGCCTCTAAGTCCGTTGTCGTTTGATCTCGAAAAGTTTTGTATACGTCCGGTCAACTTCTTCAAGTTCCCTGCCCTTAACAGCAAGTGAATTACAACCTTTATTATTCCTAATAGGAGAATTTATGAAGGATATCTATGTTCAGACTAACCTTGAACTTGGTACCACAATGAAGATTTCGAATTATCCCTGAGTGACCTGGTACCGATCCGTTAAGACCTTTTTATAGCCGATTAAGCCGAATGTAGACTTCAATATAAAGTTGGTAATGTGAAATCAATAACATAATAATACATTTCTTACTTCCATGATCGATTATCGACCATAACCGAAGTCGATTTGCCACAAAAATAACCTATTACTATCTAATTATTTGATCAAGCTAAGAAACGCTATTTTCAAATATGTTAAACTTTTAGTTTAGATGAGGATATCGACAGCTAATGTTTTCTCCTGCATACTCCAGAGAAACGATTCTCAATAGGGGGCCCGTTTGTATAGGGATTCGCGGCAACATTTCATGGAATCATCGCAAGGCATGCAAAGGAATTCGAGTACTATTCGATTCGTACTCAATTATCCGAAAACTTTGGTTTTTATAACATTAACTATGTAACTCCTTACTTGCTAAACTCATGTCACAGTAATTAGACGTAGTCAGGAATTGTGAAATGAGGTGTTTGAAATGCAAGCCCTTACCTTAGGAGATGTAGATGAAACCTTTGCTTGAAGGTGAGAAATGTTCGAATGAATAAAAGTTCTCTCGATTGTAAAGTCGCCATTCTAATTTCAAAACTCATTCTTAAAGATCATTTCCGCGTACACTGCAATCGCCACCGAATAGTTCGAAAAAAACAAACTGTTTTCGGAGCAAATATATTGAATTTCGTTTTCGGTATCGATTGCGGAAATGAGATCTTAGCAGAAGTCTCTTCCATTCATTGTCCGGAGAGTTCTTCAAACGTACGAGACATAATATCTCTGATGTATTCATATGTTTGGCCAACTCTATTTATGAACTAGGTCAATAGGAGGAACAAAATTTCTGGACCTTGATCATATATTAAAACCATAGTTTTATTCCTACTATGTATGGAGTTCCCCGAGATTAAATAAATTCCTCAAGGAACCTCTAATCTAGAAGGACATGACCCCAAAGAGATTTTTCACTTAAGATTAACTCATTATATTAAGACATCGATGTGTCTTATATAAATATTTACTACGCTAGCTTATAAATAGGGAGTTAAATAAGTCATTACCAAGCTAGTTCTCAACTAATCAGCTGATTAAGCAGTTCTGTAACACAAAATGTCAGAAGCTCAAAATAAGTACTTATATTTATAAGAGATTATATGTTAGTTATTACTAAACTACTTAAAAGTAATGCAGGTGTATGATGTTATAGCCATTGAAACATAAGATATTGAGTAACTACAAGTCATTGCTGGAAAGTTTCTATTACTGAATAAAGTATTAATATGTACATATTTAGTTTATTTCTTAGCTAAATTAGCAAATTTTGGAAATTTTTTATAAAAGTACTTTAGTACAAATTAAAGCCCCAAACTTCCCCTAATATTTGCAGACCAACCCTGATGCTAAAATAGATAGTGGTGTAAAAGTAATAACAGAGAGCAGAGAAATAACAACAAAGTAATACAAAAAGAGTAAAAGAGAGTAAGTTAAGTAATTAACAAAAAACTAACTCAATTAAATAAAATTATTTAAAGAGAGTTGTATTTAGTAGGCAGAGAGAGAGAACATATTAAATTGTAATATTTTGTAATTGGTTGTTGAAAAATCTAAATGAGTTTAGGAGAAAATGCTTTAGTAAATTGTTATTGTTTTTTTGCATTTAACTAAGAAGAGTGAGAGTAATAGTTTGGCAAGGTTATGTTTAAGTAACAGCTGTTTTTAAATTACAACTCAAAATTCTAGGTATAATTTGAAAAACAAAACATATGTTGAGTTTTTATGCTAAATGAGTGATATATATAGAGAGAGAGTGAGTTCGTGTGTGTTTAGGAAAAACATGCTGTTAATTTTTAAGAGGAAAAAAAAAACAGGTAAAGCAGAATATTAGGGGAATGAAATAATAAAAAAATATACAAAAATTCATATGCGGCAAATTGTAAGACCAAGCAATTCAGTCGGTTGAGAGAGCTCGTATGGTAAAGACGCTTTTTACATTTATTAGAACGCGTGATAAACAAGCAAAGAGAAAAATTTAATTATATGAAATAAAATGAACTAATTATTTAAACAAATACTAACGTGTTAAAATAAAAAGAGCTCAGCTTAATGTAAACAAAAATTTAATTTTTTACAAACAACTTTCAAGAAATTTTATTGTGATATTTAATTAAAGAAAGAATGCTTAAAGAAGACAAGACCTTAAAAAGAGTCTTAAAATAAAGTGAAAAATTAACGGAATGATAAAGAAAATTAAAGAAAAACGTGTAAGAAAGCAAGAAAACTAAACAAATTGAGTGAAGAATTAAAAACTCTCATATAAGAAAAATTCCCAAAAAAGAGAGAGAGAGAGTATTCGCTATAAAACACTCATTTAAATAAAGAGTAAAAGAGTGTCACAGTTTTCACTCAAACTACAAATTGAGTAATTTCTAAAGCAAATAAGAAAATAAACAAACTCACTCATTTAACGTAATCATAACGCAATTTTATGTTAAACGTTTACAACGTAACGCATTCTTCACTATCAAAAGAATTCGTACGTTACTGCTCACACATTCATTCGCATAACGTTTAAGCTGCTCGTGCTATGCGGACGGACAATAAAAACAAAAATAATTACCGTTATTATTATTATTATTACTGAACAAAAGAAAACGCCAAATATTTGAAAAAATAAACTTCTTTCGTCGGTCGTTGTTGGTCGTTTTAAAAGCAGCAAAAGAAATTTTCATTAAAAGAAAAAAAATTAATCAAAGACTGAATACAACAAAAAAAAAAAAATTAAATTGAAAATTTAAGAAAAAACCAAGAAAATTTTTATAACAGAAAACCTAATAAAGACTGATTAAAACTATTTAATTAACTACATATTAAAATTTAAAGAAAAAAACGCTAAAATAGTAATATACGGGTCTTTAAAAAAAACAAAAAATTATTTATAAAAATTAATTAAAAAAAGATTTAAGAAAAAGAATAATAACTAAAATACCTGCTAAATAATTTAATAAAAAACAAATATTTTTTATGGATTAAGGTTCCTGCTAAATAGTTTAAACAAAAACCATACAAGAAATTTAATAAAATTTCATTATAATACAAATAGAAAAAAATATATATAATAGCCCTGTGGATTACCTATATTATATATATTTTTAATTTAAATAATACAAAACAAAACAAGCTTGGATTACCAGTGCCAATTATTAAGAAAACATAAACCAACAAATCATAACAAAAATCTTAAAATAACCTCAAAAAAAGCTAAATATTAAAACCTAACCTCAAAATATTTAAATTATCTAAATAAAGCTAGATAAAATTCAAAATTTGCTTAAAAAAATGTGTTTGTTTTAGCAAAATTAACTAAGTGCTAGTGCTTTAAACGCAAAACCCTTAAACTTAAACTTATTTAAAGAAAAAAAGGATTTTTATCCTTTTTTCTACTTAAATCAAAATATAAAAAGTTTAAAAACAACTAAAACAACAACATGACTATGGCTGCTTGTTATGCCAACTATGATATGGCTTCCTTGGCCACTCATACTCTGGCTCAAACACAATCAGCAGCACTCATGCAACATCACCAACAGCAGCAGCAACAACAACAGCTTTATCACCAGCAGCAACAACAGCAGCAGCAGCAGCATCATCAGCAACAACATGCCTATCACCACAGCACACATCAACAGCAACAAACTAGCAGTAGAATGTCATCATTGGCGGCGTCGGCTAATCAAAATTCACTGAGCTCCAATAGCTCAGCAGTGGCCGCCGCCGCCGCTTTGCTTAATTCGTCTACAGCTGCCGTCACCAACTCCACCAACACCTCTTCAAATACAGCAGCCGTTTCAACGGCCAGCCAACAACAACGTAACCAAAATGCCTCTGTAACAGCTTTAACACCCGCCTCACAACAACTCAATAATGCCGTTGCTCAAACAACGACGGCCAAAGACTATTCCATACCCCTGCATGTAGACTGTAGTGTGGAATATGAATTGCCCAATCAGCCTAAGCCACCAGCTGGACAAAGGGTTGAGCCTTTGCTTATGATACATCCTTGCTATTTCCGCAAAATGGAATCCCAAAGACGCAGTCCCTTTGTCAATAACATGCCTACGGCGGCGGCTGCCCGTAATACCGCAGCTTTGGCCGGTACGCAAACACTCACAAACACACCACAAAATGTGGCCTCTTCCTCTAGAAGAAGCCGCCAAACTCAGGTTATACAACAACAGCAGCAACAACAACAACAACAACAGCAGCAGCAACAACAACAGCAGCAACATCACCAGCAGCAGCAAAGACAGGCTGTGGTGGCTGCCCAACAATATCAGCAACACTTGCAGCAGCAACAACTCAGGCATAATCACCAACAACAGCAGCAACAGTCGCAGCAAATGTCACAAATGTCTCAGCAGGCCCACTATCCGGTACAGCATCATATGCAACAACAGCAACAAACCGCCAACACCAGCAACTCCTCCTCCTCCTCGAATAATGCCTCCTCCTCCACTTATTTAAGGTCTAACCAAAGATCCTCCTCACAACAACAACAACAACAAAACCCACAAAGAACAAGCCAAAGTCACCTTTTAGTACAACAACAACAGCAGCAGCAATCACAGCAATGGGATCATTTGGCAGCAGCTGCTATTGCCAGCCGTACTGCCATGACACCAGCAGCGGCCTATAGCAGCAGCAACAGCAACCAAAAGGCTCAAAATGGCAATGTGGGCAAACGAGATGCCATGATCTCCGGCAGTGGTATCTATGGCAGCAAATCTCAGCAGCAGCAGCAACTATTGTGGAATTCTTCGGGACAACAAGCGGATAACATCAACACCTCCGCCGCCACAGCAGCCACCTCGGCGGCAAATGCTTTAAGCAATTCCCAAGCCAATATAACAAGTCTTATGATGGATCGCAGTCCTATGGCTACAGTTCCTAGTAATTATCAGGCTGGTCCTGAGGCCACGCCCCTACTAAACCAAAGTTCAAATAACAGTAACCAACGTAACAACACTACCGCCACCAGCCATTACTCAACAGCCACTACCACAAATACTGCTTCAGCTGCCGCGGCAGCAGCTGCAGCAGCGGCGGCCTCCCTAACCAGTCATCATCATCATCATCAACATCACCAGCATGCGGCCGCCGCCATGGCAGCCGCTGCACATCATCACTCCCAACAACACTATCCCGACAAGATAAGTGGCAAATACCGCCAATATCTACGATCTCAGCGTATGCATCCCTATTTGGCGGCAGCCACTTCAAGTGCTGCTGCCGTAGCAGCGGCCGCCAATCTACAACAAAGTTTTCCACAATTTACTGCTGCCACAGCAGCGGCGGCTGCTGTAGCCGCCACACCATCATTCCAACATTTGCAACAAATTTCCTGTTATAATGTGTGATAAAACTAAAAAAATTATTAAAAATTCTTTAAAAAAAAAAATCCAAAGAAATTTTGAAATTTAAAAAATAAACGGCAGCATAGAAGTGATAAAAATAAATAAATTAAAAAATTAACAAAAAAATTAGCGGTAATTAAAACAAGAGGAAGAAAAGAGGCAAAGAGTAAGAAGATAAAGGAGTTTTGTTTGGGTTTTTTGTTTGAAAGGTTAAAACAACAACAACAACAAAAGAGTATACGTATTAACAAAAGCATACAAAAAAGAAAAAGAACATTTGCTAAAAAGCTTTACTTAGTAAACAACAACAAAAACAAGAAAATTATTAATTAACTAGCCATAGTCATAGATTAAAACATAAACTAAAAACTCAAGGATAATAAGTAAAAAGCAAAGAAATAAAACAAAAACAAAACCAAACAACTCCTTTTAACAAACTCTAGGAGTAAAAGCAGAGGCAAAACAAAACAAAAACAAACAGGAGACTTGTTTAGTTTTATTTAAGTTTTTAATAATTGAGTTGTTGTAATGCTTCAAATATAACAAATTAACTGCTAAAAAATCTAAAAAAAAAACAAAAATTCTAATAATAAATAAACTATTTTACTCTCAAAACTACATTACTCTCTCACACTTTTTACCAACATTAAAACTATAAATAAAAACCAACATAAATAATGTAAATTAAAAAAAAAAAAAACAAACAAACTGCAACAACAACAGCAAACAGAGTAAAAAAACGAAACAAAACAATAATAAATGTAACGGTTTTAGCTTTTTATTTATAAATTCCTTATTATTATTAATTGTTTTTGTTTTTTTTTCGACAATTTTAAATTTGTGTTGTTAAACATCATCCCAGCAAACAATTTGGTGAGAGTTGCATATTTATCTATTATTATTATATTATTATTATTAATAATAATTAAAAATCTTACAAAATTAAACATATTTAAAATTATACAAGGGAATCTATCTATATATATATATAAATATATACATACAATAGTTATATAAATAAACAAATTAACTTAATTTATAACAAAATTTAATTACTATGATAATATGTAATACTAAACTACAAAAAAAAAAAAACAAAGAATTGTTGTAAAAAAATATGCTAAAAACATAAATAATTAAACAAAAATTACAAAAAAACTTTAAAAAAACTTTTTAAATTTCTGTTTTAAGTTGATTTTGGAAAAAAACTGCATTTTATTTTATTTATTTTGAATTTTTATTACTCTCTTTAGGTTTTATTTTTTAGTTTTTTATTTTGAATTTGCATTTTTTCTTTAATTTTTTTTTTTAATTTTATTTTACTTTGTTTTTTTATAAAATTTTTTTTTTTAAAATGTATTTTTTCTGGACTAAATGCAGTTTTTTTTTGTTTGTAATAATGTATATTTTAGCTTTTGGCTGTAAAATATTTAATATAATAAAATTACCTATAAACTGGGAAAATATAAAATAAATTGAAAATGAAAAATTTTAAACAATTTTGTACTTTTTAAGGGGATTTTATACATTAAGGGAAAGCTTTTTGAATTGCAGGCAAGGTGGTTCAAGGAAAAGGTTTAACAATTTTGCTTGAATTATATCAGCAAAACGTTTTCAAATTGTTTTTATAACAAATCGTTAATATGAAACTATTCAGGTTTGATTTCGAATTTCAAAATTTTCAATTTTGTAAAGAATTTTGCTTTAATTTTAAAAATTTCTTAACATTTAGTTAAAATTCTTTAATATCAAAAGATTTTCAAGAAATTTTCAAGAAATTCAAATTATAGATTTGAAAGTTCCGAGGAAAAGGTTTTCAATTCATTTTTGTCTAAAAAGTTTTGATTTTGAAAAGAATTTGGAATGTTTTGAATAATTTCTTAAAGCTTTTTAAATTTAAGTTTTCTTTTTAAAAAAATTCAACATTTTTTTCAAAATATTTTCAAAACAGTAAAATTTTTAATAAATTTTACACAAAATATAAGATAATAAAAGTTCATATTGTTACAAAACAAAACATTTTAAAAAACTTTTTAAGATTTCATTCAAAAGAAATTCAACTCTTCGTTGGAGTTTTGAATACTTGATTTTTCATCATATTTTTCGGAAATAGTTTTAAGAAATTGAAGAAAATTAAGAAAAAGTCTCTTTTGGCTTAATGCAAATCGTAAAATTCAAATATTTTCAAAAGTATTGAATAATTTTCAAAAGTGTAAACAATTTGAACTGAAAATCTTTAAGTTGCAACTAAAAATTTAAAAAGTTTCTAAGAATAATGATAAAGAAATGTAAAAGTTTGTTAAAAACTAACGTTTTAAAATGAATTTTAGACAAAGTTCCAGAAATAATTGAAAATTTCTCACTTTTATGTGGAAATTGAATAATTTTTTGAATTAATTTTTTGTTAATTTAAAACTTTTGCTAAAATTTGATTAAAAACTTATGAAAAACTTCAAATTTAAATTCAATAATCAGATAAAGTAAGAATTTTCATTGAAACGTTTAAGAAACTTTAAACATTTTGTGTTAATTCAAAATTTTAACAATAATTTTATTGAAATTGTGGTTTATTGAAAACTTTTGCTGAAATTTGCGATAAATTTGATTAAAAACTTTTAAAACATTTCACAATTAACTTCGGAATTAAGAAAAATATTAATTTTTTATGTATTTTCCTTGATACTTTTAATAAAGTTTCAAAATTTTGTGTAAATTCAAGATTTTATCAAAAATTTCGTTGATATTGTTATTTATTGAAAACTTTTGCTGAATTTTATGAAAAATTTTTTTTAAAAATTTAAAAAAAAATCAGAATTAAACGCAGTATTAAGAAAACGTTTCCCTTGGACACTAGTCAATAGAACTGACTATAAACTAGACAATATATTAGACTATAAACTAGACTATAGGCTAGAACGTAGACTAGCCTCTAGACTACACTGTAGACTGGACTATTTACTAGACTGTAAACTAGATTATAGACTGAAATATACAAGAATAGACTATGGACTAGATTACAGTTTAAATTAGACTGTAGATTAGACTATAGTCTATGCTACTAACTAGGCTATAGACTAGAGTATTGTCTAGAATACAGTCTAGGCTGTAAACTAGACTATAGACTAGACTATTGACTAAACTATAGGCTAGAAGAAAGACTCGACTAAGATTAAATTATAATTTAGCCTATAAACTAGACTAAAGACTAGACAATAGACTAGACTATACTCTAGACTGTATACTAGACTATAAACTATACTACAGACTAGGCTATAGACTAAACTATTGATTGGACTATTTACTATACTGTAAACTACATTATAGACTGGAATATAAATTGACTATATTGTAGATTAGACTATTGACTAGACTACAGTTGAGACTAAACTGTAGATTAGACTATATTCTAGGCTATAAAATAGACTATATACTATAATATTATCTAAACTATGGACTAGAGAATTTAGTTCAGTATGTAAACTAGACTAATGACTAGTCTATTGATTGGACTGTAAACTAGATTATAAACTGGAATGTAAATGGACTGTGTTGTAGAATAGACTATAGACTAGACTAAAGTTTGGAACAGACTGTAGATTGGATAGATAGTCTAGGCTATTAACTGGGCTATAAACTAAACTAGACTATAGATTATATTATAGTTTAGAATAAAGAACTAGACTATAGCTTAGAATGTACACTATAGCCTGGACCATTAACTAGACTTTAGGCTAGACTATATACTAGGCAATAGACTAGACTATAGATAAGACTATAGACTACAGACTAGATTATAGACTAGACTATAGACTAAACTATAGACTAGACTATAGACTAGACTGTAGACTAGACTATAGACTAGACTATAGACTAGACTGTAGACTAGACTATAGACCAGACTATAGACTAGACTATAGACTAGACTATAGACTAGACTATAGACTAGACTATAGACTAGACTATAGACTAGACTATAGACTAGACTATAGACTAGACTAAAGACTAGACTATAGAGTACGCTATAGAGTAGACAATAGACTAGACTATAGACTAGACTATAGACAAGACTATAGACTAGACTGTAGACTAGACTATAGACTAGGCTATAGACTAGACTATAGACTAGGCTATAGACTAGACTGTCGACTAGACTATGTACTAGACAATAGACTAGACTATAGACTAGACTATAAATAAGACTATAGACTAGACTACAGACTAGATTATAGACTAGACTTTGGACTATACTATAGACTAGACTATAGACAAGACTGTAGACTAGACTATAGACCAAACTATAGACTAGACTATAGACTAGACTACAGATTAGACTATAGACTACTTTATAGACTAGGCTATAAACTACACTATAGACTAGAATATAGAGTAGACAATAGACTCTACAATAGATTAGACTATTGACTGGACTATGGACTAGACTATAGACTATAGACTTGACTATAGACTAGACTATAGACTAGACTACACTATAGACTAGACTATGGACTAGACTATAGAAAACTTTTTATTTCCCCTAGAAATTTTGTCTTTTTTTAACCTTAAAGTTTAATTAAATTTATTTATTTTTTAGAAATTTTGAAAATTGTTGTAAAACCAAACATTTCGCTTTGATTTTCATAAATTTGAAATAATATTATTTTACCATTTAATATTTATTTATATTTTCCCAGTTTATTCCTAAAAAAAAATATTGTAACTCCCACCAAATATTAAGCTAAAGCTGGGGTTTTTATTTATAGTATTTTATGTTTGGTTTAGTTTTGTTTTAAAAAATAGACTTAATAAATTTGAAATTATTAATTAAATAAAAAAATAAACTTCTGTTTTTATGCAAATATTTTCTTAGAAAACTAAAAAAAGCCGTTAAAAACCAAAATTATATGCTTAAAAATATTATTATGAAATTAATAAAATATATAACAAAAACATAAAACTTTGTAAAACCATAACTTATAGAAACAAAAATTAAACATAATTAATATAATTATGGCAAAATGAAGGCAAGAAAATAATAATATTTAAGCATAAATTTAAATAATATCTTCAACAACAACAAAATATTAGAAGAAAAAAAAAATAAATTACTAAACAAACAAAACATTTATAAAATCTAAAAAATTAAAGCATATTTATGCATGCAACAACAAAAATAGTCGAAGAAATACAAATTATAAAAATTATTATAAAAAGTAAAATAATAATAAAAAAAAAACAAACGTATGGTAGTGATATTTGTTATAAAATAATTCATTTTTTAGTAATTAATTTAACTTAAACAATAATTAAAAAACAAAAACTATATATTATTAATATAAATAATATTATAAATAACTAATAAATATTATAATAATATTTAAAAAAACAAAAAAACCAAACTCTTATATATAAAAAATAATAATAAAAAACAACAAACTCATACCCACTCCCTTTCCAAAACTCAAAAACCCTGTAAAACCCTTTATAAAGATTTTCTAATAAATATTTTCCAAAGATTTCTCATTTAAAATTTTTATAAAAATTCTATATTTATTTCACCTGTTCTTTTTTAAACTTTTTTTTAATCTGTTATAATTTAAATAAATTCTTTTATTTTTCAACTAAAATTTTCTTACAAAACAACAACAACAACAAAAACAAAAGTATTGTATAGTAAATATTATATTATATTATTATATATAATTATTATAATA